TTTTAATTTTTCTTAATGTTTTATTTATTTCTGAGACAGAGGGAGAGAGACCGCATGAGCAAGGTGAGCAAGGGAGGGTCAGAGAGAGAGGGAAACAGAATCTGAAACAGGCTCCAGGCTCTGAGCTAGCTGTCAGCAAAGAGCCTGACCCAAGGCTCAAACCCATGAACCGTGAGATCATGACCTGAGCCGAAGTTGGACACTTAACCAACTGAGCCACCCAGGTGCCCCGCCTACTTTTAAAGAAATACAGGTGACAAATGGTAAAAGCACTGGGACAGGGTGGGTGGTGGGGCGGACAGCAGTAATCAGGGAAACAAGGTGAAGAGGATTAGAGGTACAGACTTGCAGTTTATAGAAAGCCACAAAAGTGAGCCACATAGGGAATTGTGGTCGATAATGTAAAAATTTTGCATGGTAACAAACAGTACACATAGTGCGGTGAACATTTCATAATGTATGTAATTGTCAAATCACTGTGTTGTACACCTGAAACGAACGTATTGCATGTCAGCTATACTTCAGTCTTTAAAAATAAGAAAAAAGTTGTCAAATAAAATGCCTGTTATCTGGAATCATACTGGAAAAAAAGATTGTAGAGCACTTTGATGCACATGATACCTGCCTACTCCATGAATCTGGCATTATCCGCATTTTTCATGTGAGGTATGACAGTGGAACTTCACTTCCAATGAAAGTTTCTGTAATAGGCCCTCCAGCCCCTCTACACTCAGCCACCAGGCCAATGGCCGGCCTTGCCGAAACCCAAAGCTACCAGGATATGGAACTAAAAGCAGGGCATGCTGGTTCCACACTTTGACCTTGGATTGCACCATCCTTCTCAGCCCTCTTAATGGTGTCTAGGAAATCCTAAGATCTCAGGTATATTGTTTCTGAAGCTAAAAAACAGTTGAGGACTCCCAGGATTGAGTCTTCCTACTCCCACCTCATGCATTGATGCTTTTTCTGATTTTGCTTGGACCCAGATTTCTTTTCCCCACCACCTCCAGCTCCAGGAGGCAAGAGCCTGTTTATTTTAATACCTGGTGTGGCACTTGGGAAAGATCACACCTCCCCCGTTGTTACCCGTTTCTATCTCCTGAGCACTAATCCTAGAATCCCAACCAGCCCCCAGACATGTTATTAGCAACAAGGATGTTTCTTGAAAAGTTTCCGAGTTGGCTGCAAACTTACCATCTCAGTTTCTCATCTAGCTTTTGCCCTGCCATTCTTGATGCTGCCAACAAGGGGAAGGCTGATATGGGGGTTGATGGGACCCAGATGGACTTAATCTCTGGAAGAACTGCTTTGAAACGGGACTGCCCCAGGACTCTGGGACCAAGAGAATGGCTCAGGGCCTTCTCCCACTGTATGGGTGTTAGAGGAGGATGTTCAAATCTAGCCTTGGGCTTTCCCTCCCTTATTTCATTCACTCTCTACTTCTGGTCTTAGGCATCCAGAATCTGGCCAAACAGCCTCTGAAAGCTCAGCGGGGTTTTCAGCCATGATGGAGGTTTGGGGTCATGTGGACCAGGCAGTTCCTGGTCTTTGTGGGGGTTTTTTTTGCCCCCTAGGTGTCTGGGGCTCAGCTGCTGCAAGTGGACCCATGCATCTGCATACCCAGAGTCTGCACTTGTATCTCAGGCATCCCCAGCTGAACCAGAGCCACAGAAGGCCCAAGGTCAGACCCAAGGAGAGAGCCTCTCAAATCTTTTCACCAAGGTAATTGTAATGATAGAGGAAAGTAAGCAAGCCTTACAGTGTAAGAAGTTCTTAGCCCAAAGTGACTCTCAGTAAACTGAAATGACTTAGGGACACCCGGGTGGTTCAGTCAGTTAAGCATCCAACTCTGGGTTACAGCTCAAGTCATGATCTCACAGTTCTATTCTTGGGTTTGAACCCCGATCCGTCTCCCTGCTGACAGCATGGAGCCTGCTCAGGATTCTCTCTCTCTCCTCCTGTCTCTGCACCTCCCCAGTCATGCTTTCTCTCTCTCAAATAAATTTAAAAAAAAAAAAATTTAAAAAAAAAAGACTTAGCTGAGTCTTTTTTTTTATTTTTTTTTAATGTTTTATTTATTTCTAGGAGAGAGAGAGAGAGACAGCGTGAGCAGGGGAGGGTCAGAGAGAGAGGGAGTCACAGACTCTGAAACAGGCTCCAGGCTCTGAGCTGGCAGTCAGCACAGAGCCCGATGCGGGGCCCGAACCCACGAACCACGAGATCATGACCTAAGCGAAAGTCGGACGCTTAACAGACTAAGCCACCCAGGCGCCCCAAGACTTAGCTAAGTCTTAAACACAGGCATATTTTGCATTTTATATTAATACTATGGCTGCTTGTTTTTTATATAAAAATGTTTTAGATGATCTACCACTGAAGGCAAGTATGAGGCCCCATAATGAACCTTTGGCTTTATGTTCCCTTAGTAGGAGAAACTCCTGAGAAGGCTGGTGCTAGGGTGCGAGTATGAGCATTGCACGATTTCTACTTCTAGTCCACCTTGGGCTGAGATAGAACCAGAATGGAGGTGATGGCCAGAAGACATAAAGCCTGAGATTCTTGGTCACAGTAAACATTAACGATTTTGAGATACAAGGCGGGGGGGTGGATAATGCCCTGGACAATTTAAGTTAGGAAAAGTGTTACTCTAGGTGACACTGTTATGACCCCATGGGTCAGTAAAATCTGATTTCTCCCTGAAAATTCTTCCCAAAGAAACCCATATCCTTTTCAACTCTGTATTTGCTTCTAGCTGCTGCCCTGGCCCTTCTCATACACCACCCCAAACCGCAAGAAGTCCACCGAGAAAAAAAGGAAATGCTTTCCCAAAGTGGTATTCAACCTCCCATATGAATGGCTGAATGTCTTAAAAAGGCAAGAAAAGGGGCAACTGAATGGCTCAGTTGGTTAAGTGTCTGACTTTGGCTCAGGTTCTCCCCTCAGGTCATGATCTCACAGCTTGGTTCATGAGTTCAAGCCCCACATTGGGCTCTCTGCTGTCAGCGCAGAGCCCGTTTCAGATCCTCTGTCTCCCTCTCTCTTCAACCCCTCCCCCCGAATAAATAAACATTAAGAAAATTAAAAGGCAAGAAAAAATAAAGGCTACATATTGAGACTTCCTACAGGTCAAGCACTGCTGTTAAGAACTCTACACACTTGTAGCTCCTTTATGCCATAAGGACGACTGAGCACATCTCCACTTCACAAATAAAGCAATAGCTGGGAACCTGGGTGGCTCAGTCACACCCGACTCTTGGTTTCAGCTTAGGTCATGATTTCACGGTTCATGAGTTCAAGCCCTGTGTCAGGCTCTGTGCTGACAGTGAGGAGCCTGCTTGGGATTCTCTCTCTCTCTCTCTCTCTCTCTCTCTCTCTCTCTCCTCTCTCTCACACAAAAATAAATAAACATTACAGATAAGGCACTAGGATTAAGATAGTTCAAGTTACTTGCCTTCAGTTATTATCACAGTCCCTTAGTAAGTGGTAGTGCCAGGATTTAAATCCAGATCTGTCCAATTCTGAGGCCCAGGCTCATAACCACTACACTTTTTGTCTGGATAGAAGAGAGAGGAGGAGCAATTGGAAACATGCCCAAATTGCGGAGCCCAGAAGGAGGAGGAAACTGGCTCCATGAGGAATCTGGAGCCCAGGAGTAATAGGAAGTCTAGAAAGTTGCAGTGGAGGATGCTTGGTCCCAGGGGTAAAAGCACAGGAGAGCTCTCTGGGCTTCCTCTTCCTCTTCCTGCCCTGCAGGCAAGCAAAATGTGACTCTGGCCAGGTGGTCCCCGCCCTGCTGCAAGACCCTTCATTGCCTTCCCATCCAGCACAGAGCTAGGTCCAAATTCCTTACCCAGCAATCACCACCACATTTGAGACCTCACCTCAAGCCCCCTCTCTGCCTCCTCTCACCAAACTGCCAGGCCCCCTGGACTCCCTTCTCAAAGCTCTGTACTTGCTCCCATCTTCTCTCATCTGCAGCCCTCCTCTCCTACAATCTCTCTCTCACCCTGACTCCCCAAATCCATTTCTTTCAAGTCTTCTTCCTTGAGACTTGCCTCCTCTGACACCTCCACTGACTCCCCTAGTTGGTCCCCTCCCTGTACCCTCTCCCCAGGCCTTGGTTTTTCACACAGCACATAATTAGTGCTGCTGGGCAGTCTTCTCCCTCTAGGGCTGGGAGGGCCACCCAACTAGAAATCCCCATCTTCTATTCCAAATTTTGCCCTCCAGTAAGACTCTGGCCCCTCTCCGGCCCCAGCTATCTCATCTGTAGAATCGACCTCATAGACTTGTGAGGATTAAATGTGAGGACGCAGGCAAAGCTTGGAGCTTGTTGTCTAGCACACAGTCCACACTCAGTAAATGCTAGTTATCGAGGCTGAATGACGCTGTGGCCACTGGTTTTAGAATAAATATATAGGTGATTGTGCCTCCGTGCAGCCCCTGCAAATGCTGGCCATCTCCTGGTCTGGAGAAGAGAGGGGAGCAGTGGGGTTAGGGGAGTGGAGGTCATTCACTGGCAGGAGATACGCTATGCTTTGCGGCCAGCCTGGTGTGCCCTCTTGCACTGATGCAGTGAAGGGCGAGCGTGACCACCCTGCACTCTGTCCTCCTGCGGGACGGCGGAGGAGAAGCGGGACGCTGTAACCGGTACTAGGTCCCCGCGGTGGACTGGCGTGGGAAGGGGTCAGAAGGACCTAGAGAGAGAAACTGGGTGAACGTAGGGGGGGGCGGGGGGGCGGGAATTGGAGTGAAGCAAAAGGCTTTAGGGTCTCTCCGGCCCCTTCCTCCCACCCCTCCAGGAGAGAGCTAAAATCCTGGCAGGGTGAGTCGGGAGAGGGAGCAAGTCGAAGCGCGGGGTTCAAGAATTCGTCCAGGGCCGCGCGAGCGAATCTGTCAGGCTCAGGGACCCAGCGGAACGCCAGCCCGAACCACCCCCCACACCCCCCAGCGGCCTCGCGCTCCCCTCCGCCTCCCTCCAGCCGACGCGAGCGGGCGGCGCGCTCCGGAGGGAGAGCTGGGCTGGAGGTTTCCTGCCCCCTCGGCGCCCGCACCTTCCCTCCGCGCCCGCCGCTGAGCCCGCGCGGACTGGGCAGCCGGGGGCGCCCCCACCCTCTCCCCCCGGGCCGGGGAGCCGGGGGGCAGCGCCGGAGCCCGGGGGGAGCGCGGCCCAGCCGGCTGGCCGGCCAGGGCCGGGGGCGGCTAGGACGGCCCCGGGTAAGCGGCGGGAGGGGAGGCGGGCGGTGCAGGGCCGGGGTGGGGGGGACGTGGGGGGGGAAGAGCAGGTGGGAGCGGGGCGGCCGGGACTGGGGGCCAGGGCGAGGAGGATGGAGGGGGCTGGCGGGCTGGTGGGGAAGCGGCGCGGGTTGGCCACGTGAGAGCAGGAGCTGGGTGGGGGGGTGCCTGCAAGGTGCTGGAGGCGGAGAGCAGGCAGGGCTTTGGCATCCCCCCTAGACTCCTACCAATCAGGTCATGGGGAGCCCAGCATCCTCTGACGCCCCCATCCGCCCACTCCCACATGAACGTGTGGGGACAAACAGCGGGCAGACGTGTGACTCTGCCCATGGGACCGCAAAGCCAGGGCCGCGAGTCTGGGGCAGGACTCCTGTGTCCAGGCCTAGGGGAGGGGACAAAAAGCAGGCTTTGGCCCTTGTGTGTGTCCCCCGTCTCTTTCCTGGGCGCTGTCTGCAGACTCACTGCAGAGCGCAGGCCTTGGGGAGGGAGCTCTCAGGGAGCTGGGCCCTGATGCTCCGGACAGCCCTCTTCAGTCCCCACCCAGCTAGGGATGTTAGGTTAATAGGCACTTAGACCCAGGACCCCTGCCTGAGAAGAGTGAGGAAACACCAGTCATCTCGGAGTCAGAGACAGGGCCACACTTGGGCCTGGTGAGTTCCAAGAGGATGGCCCCAGCCTAGGGGCCTCTCTTGTGTCCCCTCCCTGGCTCCAGCTCTCTGCCCCATTTATTTCCCAGCAGTTCTCCAGAAAGGGTTGATTTCTGTGCAGGGAGTGTGGTGTCCGGGAGAATCTGCAGGTAGGACACATTCTAGATGCCTCTAAGTTGCCACACCCAGAGAGAGAGGTCAGGGACTTTTCTTGCATTCCTTGTCCTCTTTTCCTCCCCCAGGATGCCCCCCTCCCCACCTGCCTGTGCTGGTTATGTAATTAACCTGCTGAGGATTTCTGCCAAGCTGACCGTGTCCAGGGATGGCTAAGGGGCCCAGGGCCTGGAGGGATTTGGGGGAAGGAGGCACTGGTACTTACCCTAATGGGAAGCCCATAGAAGTGGATAAACACCTGTTGGGGAAAGGACACCACATGGGGCAGAAAGGAGATCTGGGTCCTCATCTTGGTTGATAGCTCAGTTGGCTATGTGGTCTTCACTTCCCTGAGTCTCTGGTTTTTGGTTTTGGTTTTACCTTCAATAAAACAGGGAGAAGAGTCTCTCTTCTTCTCCCTCTCTTTCTCATAGGCACACACCACACAACATGTATGTGCTGCACAACCGTGCAAAAGGGGATAGTGACCCATCCTGGTAACTCTAGGAGGTCCCACTGAGATCTTAGTAAACCTCAGATGAATGAAGGACCCCTGTACATAACTGTGGCTGCTGTTAATTGAACACCTGCTGTTCCAGGCACTGGGCTTTACTTTCATGGCCTCACAACACCCTATGAAGTTTTTGCCCAAGGACACATTTTAGGTGGCAGAGCTGGGAATCAAACCTTGGTGGTCTCACCCCAAATTCTGCCTTCTGCTTACTATGCTGTATGTACACATACCCAATAGATTGGATTTTCTGAGCCAGGCCAGACTAAGGGACATTCAGCTGAGAACTGTGCATATATGGAAAGAACATATATCCACAGAGAAGGCATGCACATATCCTGAAAAGCATGACCCTGTTGGAATCTGGTAAATCCATGTGCCCTGGGCCCACATAGTAGGCACTGGTGTTGCCCTCATGTGAACAGTCCCTGGACAGGTGGTCTCAGGCATGGACCAGTCTCCCTGGTCACCATCCCCAACAGGAGAAGGCAGCTGGTTAGGAGGTTTGCTTGGATTATCCTGGAAGTAGGACCTATTAACCCTACTTTATACGTGTGCAGACCGGGTAGGTGATTTGCCTCTGACCACAGCTAGGAAACTTCATAGCTGGGGTTTACCCCAAAGCTCCAAAGTCACTGAAACTGAGCAAGCAAGGAGCTAATGAATCCATAGCAAGGTCCAACCCTGTAGCAGCCCTTTCCTGGGCACCTGCTGGCAGGGGGAGGGGGGATTGCCAGAGAATGAGACACAGCCCTTGGCCTGTAGGCATCGACCAACTAGAAGCACTAAACTTGGAGGTCAGAGGTATTGCAACTTTGTGGAGGGGAGTGGCTGCTGTTGCCAGCTGTGTGCCCTTGGGCACACTTCTCGCTCCCTCTTGAGTCTTCTGTAAAGGGGGATACACATCCCTGAGGGTTCTTCTGTTGACTATGGGTAACCAAGCAGCTGTGCTAACAGTAAGTGCTCAATAAGTAGTGTGCTCCAGAGCCAAAGTGGTCATCTGGGCCAGGGTTCCCACAGGATGTAAAATGTCCTGCCCGATGAAGAACTCCCCACAAAATGCTGTGAGAGCCCCTGAGGAGACCTACCAGGCCTCAGCGCATCCTGGGCTCTATGGGAAAGCAGGGACTGGAGCAGGTCTAGTGTGCGTCCCACTCTGCTCTGCAGCCTGGCCTGGCTGGGGGTCAGAAGTGGCCACACATCCGGTCATAACACAAGAAAGAGTGGTTCCCACCAGTGGGTGGGTCAGTGGCTGGAAAAAAAAGGAGAAGCGAGGATGGAGAGGCTGTGGGTCGATGGAGCTAGGTGTTCTGGGAAAGGGGAGGCTCTCTGAGGGATAGTAACAGCTTCAGCCAAGGTGGGGAAGTACAGGACAGGTCCAGAGAAACGCAGGCCCACCAAGCCCACCTCTTGTCCCCACAGTCCAGGTGGAGGCCGCAGAGGGCCCGGGGCAAAACAGGGGCAGCAATGGTGGGTCCTGACGGTGGCTGAGCCCCCAGCCCCTGGAATATGCAGCCCGGGGGAGCCCCAGGCAGCGGCGAGGACGCGGTGGCGGAGCGGGGCGGGAGGCATGGTCTCTACCTACCGGGTGGCCGTGCTGGGGGCGCGAGGCGTGGGCAAAAGTGCCATCGTGCGCCAGTTCCTGTACAACGAGTTCAGCGAGGTCTGCGTGCCCACCACCGCCCGCCGCCTCTACCTGCCTGCTGTCGTCATGAACGGCCATGTGCACGACCTCCAGATCCTCGACTTCCCACCCATCAGCACCTTCCCTGTCAACACGCTGCAGGTAGGAGTCTCACTGGTGTGGCCGGCCAGGGAGTGGAGGGGCAGGGGAGGAGCCCGACTCCCTCTCTTTTTTTTTTTTTTTTTTTTTTTTAATTTCTAGGAGAGAGAGAGAGAGAGACAGCGTGAACAGGGGAGGGTCAGAGAGAGAGCCGACTCCCCCTCTTGCAGGCTGTGGCCCTGTCCCCCCCTTCAGGCTCTTAGGGCTCCGTGCAGCACCATGGGCCACCCTGCCTCGAGCTATCATGTGTGTGCGCGTGCTGTGCTGCTTTATTCAATGCACCTTTAATGAACGTATAACGGGTGGTGCGCGCCAAGACAGAATGGCGGGCAGAACGGATGTGCAGTTTGCTCTCCTGGTCGGGCGAGAAGGCAAACTGGCAATTATTACATAGTACAGGAAGTGTGGTGGTCAGAGGCATCGCGTCATCTCAGTGGGACTGGGCAGGTAAGGGGCAGTGCAGAGAAAGGCAGGAACCCTAGATGCTATTAATACTCCAGGCTGTGCCCACCATGGCCTCAGACCCTTGTTGTCTATAGAAGAGACAGCGGGAAAAAAGCCAGGGCCTGGGAAAGGTACGTTCTCCACTCGTCCACAGGCCTTTCTTTGAGTGATGTCCCACCCCCTGACCTCAGGACTGGCTCTCTGGGCACCCTTCCTGCAGGGGGTGGATTCAGATGCCCCCAGTGTCCTGGCTTATAGTGCTCCTTTCCCCAGCCTGCATGGCCCAGGTCCCCCTTCCCTCTCTCCACCTCTGGCTTGAGAGGGGAGAGGGTGCAAGTGGAGACTCAGCTCTAAGATCTGCTCACCGAAGGAAGCTTCCGACCAGAGCGTTCAGAAGTTTCTCTGGAAGGACAGGCAGGGGCCACAGCTTGGCCAGTTGTGTCAACAAATACAGCAATCTCTGGGACAGGAGCTAGGCCTTAGCACTGTCTCAGCAACTCCGGGGAAGAAGGCCTTGGCCCAAGCCCAGGGATACCTGTCTGTCTCATCCAAGATGCAGGGGATTAACAACAAAGACCAAAACCTGATCCACACATGGGCCTCTTGGAAACGGTGAAACAGGGCAGCGCATCCAGGGTCATGGCCCTCTGGTTCTCCTCCACAGCGGACTTGAACAGCAGCCCAAGTGGATACTCAGATCTTGTGCCAGTCTTGCACATTGAATGGCTTATTTGTTTCACATTTTGTTGTAGATTTAATTTAATTTAATATCAGTTTTGGAATAGGTAAGACATAGTTTAAAAGTCCATACTTTTAAAATAAAATAAAATAAAATAAAAGTCCATACTTTGTGGGGTGCCTGAGCGGCTCAGTCAGTTGAGTGTCCAACTCTTGATTTCGGCTCAGGTCACGATCCCAGGGTCATGGGATCGAGCCCTGCATCAGACTCCACACTCAGCGTGGAGCCTGCTTAAGATTCTTTCTTTCCCTCTGCCCCTCTTGCCTGCTCATGCCCTCTCTCTAAGAAAAAAAAAAGGTCCAAACTTTGTTAAAATTTTAAAAAAAGTCAAAACTGTAAAAAGGCACACACAGAGAAATCCCAGTCTCGCCCCTGCCTTCTTCACCCTGATTCTTGCCTCGTTCTCATTGGTTTTTTATTATCACTTCCAGTGTTTCTTTAGATAAATAAGAAGATGTATTCTTATTCTTTTCTTGCAGAAAAAAAATTGCTTTGCACCTTGTCTTTTTGCTTTACGTTCTAACATGGAGATCTTCCCTGAGTGTTAGTACCTGAATGTCAGTAGCATGGCCATACTGTGCCCCCATTGGAGAGATGTCCAATGGGGTCCCCTCCTGTTGGACAAGTGAGTTGTTTCTAGTCTTTGGCTGTCTTAAGCCATGCCACACAAATAACCTTGTTCATAGCCTCTCTGCGAACAGGGAGGTATATCTGTGGAAACGAGACCGAGAAATGACATTGCCAGGTCAAAGGATGAAGGCAGCTGGATTTGGAAGGTGTTGCCAGATTTCCTTCCTCTTCTAGAAATTTGCACATTTTAGGTTGGGAGGACTGTATGCGAGTGCTCATTTCCCTAAAGCCTTACCATCAGGATGTATTGTCCATCCTCTGGAGTTTTGACAGTCTAATGGATGAGATGACATAGTCTCAGAATAGTTTCTATTTGCATCTCTGATTCTGACTGAAGTTGAGCAGCTTTTCATATGTTTAAGGGCTTTTGCACTTCTTTTTTGACACCTAGTAATGCCTTTTTCCATTCTTTCTGTTGGATCGTTGGCCTCTTTCTTCCTGATTGATCCTCAGTTTTAGACTCTCTGGGCTGTCCAGGACATCACTCTGGAGCACAAGAAAGGGACTCTGAGCAGAAAAAGGACCCTGCATTGCCAAAGATCAGTATAAAACCTAAGAATCCCAATGGCCACTGTCTGTAAAGAAAAGAGAAATGCATTCTTCCCCAGTGACAGATGAGATCCAGCCCAGAAGAGAGTGGCATTTTCTGAGCCTCAGTTGTTCCTTCTGTAGCCCCTTTCCTCCTATCAGAAGAGGAAGCTGAGGTTAGACCAACAAATGCATGATCGGCACCCAGGTGTCCTTAGAACTGGACTCAGTTTTCAGTGCTCCTTCTCTGTTGACACAGTCCCAAGATAATTTCTTACAGTCTGGAATCCCCCACAGAGCTAGCTGGAAAGAAAGCTCAGCTTTCTTGCTCCCTCCCTTCAATTAAGAGTGAAGGCACAACCCAGACAATCAGGAGACTTCCTCCTCTCCCTTTTAGGGCCCCCCATCCCCAGAAAGCAGTAGGCGGGAAGCCAGCCTGGAGGCCCCCTGGAGGAGGCAGCATGTTGGGGGAGAGAAGGGATTGTCACCCTCAAAGACTGGTAGCTCTTCCTTCTTCGCAGCAAAGGGCTGGAAGAAGGTGGGAGCCTCTCTGCCTGTCTCCCCATCTCTCCTATTTCCTGCTGATCTTCACCCCTTGGGTGAGACGGGGGAGGAACCGCATGCACATAGGGGTCCCAGGCTCCCAGAGGGCACCGTGTCCAGCTGAGTGCAGTCTTCCCTGGCCTGAAGCCAGCTCCTGGTTCCCTGTGGTTTTAGATTTGTCCTCAGCATCTTCCTCCTGCACCAGAGTTAAAACTCAGCACCAAGAAAAGATGCCACATCATCTCCCTGGGGAAATCCACTGCAGCAGCTTCTCAGCCTTTGAGTTGGGAAGTGCTTTTCTGGAGCCAGACTTAACTCACCACCCCTGCTACTCGAGTCTTTCTTCTTTTCTTCCTGCTCTGAGGTGGAGAACCAGCTGTAGTCCTGCAAGCCTGGCCCCTGCCCCAGGGCAGCTCATAAGCTGGCACCGTGGGAACATGTCTGCACCTCCTCTGGGTCTTTTGCCTGGGCCCTCAAGGGAGAAGACCCTAGTTCCCTTTGTCCTCGGGGGCCTCCCCTCCCCCAGCTTCAGGGACCCCCTTCTTGTCCACACACCAGCTGCCTTCAACTGCTCTTGCGTTTGCCATCTGCTGGAAGGTTAATCAGCTAATTTGTCCCTGGAGGAACCTTCCCTTTAGTACACTTAGCCTTTCCAGGAGCCTACTCCTCTTGAGCTGCAGCCCCTCCTTGAGAATTTGCGAAAAGCATTCAGGATGCTGTCTGTCTCCCTGGAGCTGCCTTTGGGTCTTGCTCCACATCAGCCCCACTATGCATCCAGTCTCAATCTTTTTCTTCTCAACCCCGAGGGCAGCATGGAGCAAACTGAAGGGACAATTCGAGTAGCAATCCAAGGCAGCAGTTATAGGCAGGAGTCACATTGATTCCAGCATGGAACAGGTGGGGTTCAAGACCACAGAGAGCTCATCAGTCTAGGCAGTGCAATTAAAGAGCCTGCTAAGAGCCAACACAGCTGGGAGGTACTGAGCAGGGAGGAGAAGGAGTTATGTAAAAATGAGGAAGACCTGGCTTGGGCCCTCTCAGGAGCTCACAACAGAAGTAGGGAACTGGGGATGGAAACAGCTCTAACCAAGGTATAACGAAAGAATTCTCAGAACACAGGAGATGAGGGCACCGGGGTGGCTCAATCAGTTAAGCATCTGACTCTTCAGCTCATGCCAAGATCTCATGGTTTATAAGTTCGAGCCCCTCATTGGAGGGGCGGCAGGGAGCCTGCTTGGGATTCTCCTTCCCTCTCTGCCGCTCCCCTGTTCATGCTCTCTCTCAAGAAGAAAGAAAGAAAGAAACATTAAAAACAACAACAAAGGAGATGAAAGGAGTAGTCTCCTGCTTGCAGGAAGGCTTCTTGGAGGAAAAGGAAGTATTGAAACTGAGCCTTGGAAGATAGAGGATTTCAAAGGATCCATCAACGAGCTCAGAGGGCTTGGCTCTTAAAGGCACTTAATAAATGTACTTGGACAAAGGACCGAATCGATGGATGAATGGATGGATGGGTTGGGTGATAAAATGAGACAAGGCTGATCTCAGCTCCAGATGTGCACAGGACAGTGAGTGCATTTGCTCTAGAGATCAGCCAATGTGACCTGCTGTATCCTGGCTTGGAGGTGGGGAAGCCCCAGCAGGCAGCTCCTCCATTCTCCTGGGCCAGGCTTCCTGGGATGGGTGGGTGTGGAAGGTTTGGGGTGCAGTGGCAGGTGAGAGTGCTGTCAGTCAATGGTTAGAGGTGGCTGGGGGTAAGGGGAGGCCTCCGAGTTGCTCTGACTTTGGCACTGGCTGGGGGTGTTACAGGAGTGGGCAGACGCCTGTTGCAGGGGACTCCGGAGCGTCCATGCCTACATCCTGGTCTACGACATCTGCTGCTTTGACAGCTTTGAGTACGTCAAGACCATCCGTCAGCAGATCCTAGAGACGAGGTGAGGGGCCGGGATACAGACTATTATCACCTCAGTGGTTGCCCCAGTGCTGGCTACTTCCTGTGGAAAGGGTACAACAGTGGGGGTGGGGGGTGCTAGATGAACTACCCTCTGGTTCTTGCACATTCTCTCTCTCTCTCTCTCTCTCTCACACACACACACACACACACACACACACAACTGTCCTCATTTCTAATAACTCACTTCGGGATTCTTACCATGGGGTGGCTAGTCTAGTGCAGTGCTTAAGAGCAGGGGTTCTGGGAAGAAAAGAAAAAACCCAAAACCTCCAGGGCCACTCATCTGCATGACTTTAAGCCAGCTAACAGGTAAGACCCAAGTTCCTCATCTGTAAGATGGAGATAACAATAGTACCTGCCTTTTAGATCAGTTGTTCTGATTGGAGAATATAAGGTACCCCGAGGGCTTAGCGCAGCACCCGCAAGGCAAGTATGGTAGTAGCAGTATCGACCAGGCACAGCCTGACCTTCTTGAAGTCCAGTGGTTGTGAGACGGGACTGTGGAGTTCTGAGATTCCCCCCCGCCCTCACCTCCGCAGGGTGATCGGCACCTCAGAGACGCCCATCATCATCGTGGGCAACAAGCGGGACCTGCAGCGCGGGCGCGTGATCCCGCGCTGGAACGTGTCACACCTGGTGCGAAAGACCTGGAAGTGCGGCTACGTGGAGTGCTCGGCCAAGTACAACTGGCACATCCTGCTGCTCTTCAGCGAGCTGCTCAAGAGCGTCGGCTGCGCCCGCTGCAAGCACGTGCACGCGGCCCTGCGCTTCCAGGGCGCGCTGCGCCGCAACCGCTGCGCCATCATGTGACGCGGCACCCGCCTGCGGCTGCATCCGGATGGGCGGGGTCCTCCCCCGGGACTGCGGGGCTCGGGCGCGGAGGGGCGGGTGGGACTCTGACGGTCCGGGCCTGCGACGGCCCCGCAGCCGCGCGCCTCCCGGTGAGAGGCGGAGGACGAGAGAGCCTCCGGTAACTGCCCAGTCCAACCCCTCCTCTGCATCGGTCTTCCTGGGCCTCCCGCCCTTAGTGCTGTAGTTAGCGCAGTGCCCGGCCGGGCCCCCAAGGGGCTCCTCAGCCTTTTGGGATTGGCGGTGAGCGTGGGACGTGGGGGGTGGGGAGGTGCTGCCTTGGCCGGGGCCCCCACCCGTGTTCTCCAGAGAGTGTGTCTGTCATTGCCCAGCATCGTCTTTTCCTGTGTCTGTCTGCCCAAGCGTCTGTTGGCCCTTAGCTGTTTTATCCACCCTCTGGTCCATCTTGCCGCCCCCAGCTCCGTTCACAGGGCTCTCACTTCATTCATCCCCTTGTCGCAGATCCTGGCAGCTTCTTTGTGAGGCCAGCCTTTGGACCGTCAGCACCACGGGCACAGGGCAGAGAGATGCGGGTGACCCAAGGATCATAATCAGGGTCTGAGGGTTGAGGTCCTGGGTCAGTCAGGGGAAGAAGGCTGAGTTCTCCCCCTTCCAGGGAGATCTCCCGGCCCAGCAGCCCCCAGAGACACAACAACCTACCTTCCAGCCTTAACTCGATGGTCTATCCCTGCCGGGTGCCCCTCATCCCCTTCCTGACCCCAAAGTTAGATCACCCCCTGGGTTAAAACATCTTATTCTTGACAGTGTGGAGAGGGAATCCCCCAAAGGATAAATTTGTTTCCATGATGCCAGGTTCCAGCCCTCTATTCCCTTCCTGCGTTGGGTTGTCTGCAAGATTGGGGGATGTTGGGTTTGGGGGGCTGATGGTGGGCAAGGTGGTGCCCTGTGAGGGGGAGGGTTTAGGCTGTGCTAGTGAGGATTCTTATCTTCCCATCCCACCCCAATCTGACTGCCCCAGACCCTGCCTGCCTTGAATCTCAGATTTTTCTGATAAATCTGGGGAGGGGCAGAGCCAGGAAAAGAATTATGGGGACCTGTGTGCTTGGGGGAGATATGCCCATATCCCCACCCCTAGATGGAGGCCCTCAGGATCTGATACCCCCTTGTCCCAGCACCAGTTGGCCCTATGCCCTCACTCACTCCACCCCATTTTCTCCGGCCGCCTGGCTGGTTTCTACCTCTCGTCACTGGAGCTGATCACTGTCAGTTTTGTACCGATTTAGAAATAACAAAATCCATGAAGATACTAGGAGCGGCCTGAGGGATTACTGGGGTACTTGGAGGATGGGAGCAATGGTGCATGTCCCCTGCCCCACACTGAGTTCTCTTTGAGGCTGAGCCCTGAGCCCTGGTGTGGTGAAATATAGGAAGGTCCCTTGTTAGAAGAGGGGCAGATAGAACAACCCAGCCTCGATGTAGCCAAGCTGCAGTGTGTAGACCAGAAAAATCAGGTAGCCCAGAGTGGTGATGGAGTGGAGTCTGGGGGAGGGGCCATGGATGGGGAATTTATCCAGATCTAGTGTGAGAGGGAATCTGATTCTCCCTTCGACTTCCCCAGCTGATTCTCCCTCCACCCATGGGGTGTATCTGCAGCCCTGCAGTGACTGCCCTGACCTTGGGCAGTCCCATATTCCTGGGTTCTAGTCCCTGCTGTGCTGCATGATTTTGGGCAAGTGACCTGCTCTCTCTGAGCCTCCCTCTGAAACAGAGGAGGTGGCTCCCCTTCCCCACACCTTGGGAGTGGCTGGGAGGGTAAGGAAGAGGGCCTGCTCCCTTTTATCCCCTGCATCCCTGCTCCCTGGTTCACCAGGGGGCTGGGGTGAGGGATGGCAGCATCTCACCTGCCCCATCACTGTCACCCCTAGCTGTGGCATCTGAGGTGGGCGTGGGGGACCCAGGCCTCTGGCTACCCCTTGTGGGAGCCATTGGAATGTATTGCCTGGCCAACCCCCCTCACCCCCTCCACTGCACCCCAGGTATTTGATTTTGATTCCATGCACTCCCATTCTGAGTCTCTGTTCCACCCCCACTCCTCTACCCACCCCACCCAGGGCTTCCCACCACAGGGTCTGGAAGTGTGTGTGTGTGTGTGTGTGTGTGTGTGTGTGTATGTGTGTGTGTGTGCGCGCGAGCGTGCGATGCCCACTGCGCTGTGATTGGAAATCAGATTAAAAATCAGGGAGTGTCTTCCCTCGTTTCTGTACAAGGTGTTGGCTCAGTTCCTGCCCTGGGAGGGAAAGGGCTCCCTACAGGGCCTGCCTGCTGAGATCTGCTGTGGAAGGACCATCAGGGTGATGAGGTGGCTCTGAGTCCTAGAGCCTGGGGCAACCAGGAGAACTAAGAGGAAGAGTTTGGGACTCATCTTCTCTCCACCCAGCCCCCTAGCCCTCTGACTAATGAAAACCATCCTGATGGAAAGCAAAATGTCTCACTCACCCTCCGCCCCACTCTCAGGAAAACTTTCATAACTGGACTCAATCCCAGGTCCTGCTGCTGTGTCTTTGTTCCCACTTGTGACCAAGAGTCTGCAGCCCTTTTGTGGCTGTATGAGATCAAAACAATCTCAACCATCCCTCTTGACTGAGTGATGGCTTCCCAAACCCGAGAGCAAAGCTTTGAAGTCCTGAAGCGCTCTGTGTGTGTCCATGGTGCTGACACATAAGAGGCTTCCAGGAGAGGCAGGCTGGCTGGCTGGCTAGGTTGGCTGAGCCTCAAGAGAGGAAGCTTCTCTCACCCCCAGCTCCCTGCCCCTCATCCCCTTCCACTTGAAGCTTTACCTTCCTGCACCACCACAATCCTAGAGTGAGGGAGTCAAGAATCTGGGGGCTCAGGAACAGACCCACAAGTGTTTAATAACTTATAAGAGTTGTGGAAATGGTAGGCATGGCCAGAGGCCAGGAGTTTGAGGAGCTGTTCTGGGGGAAGGCAAGAAAATATCTGCTGGTCCTGGTGCCCCTGGAGTTGGAGTGGTGGTCCCTTTGGTCAACAAGCAGACTGAATCTATAATTGTCTTCTGATCCCAACCACATGTTCACTCCCACCAAGGCCCTGGATAGAGGTGAGGGACCTAACTTTCTGTTTGAAATTGGGAGTCTAGCGGCTATATGGCATCCCTTTCACTTCCCTTCTCCCCCAGAACCACAGCTTCAGGTCTGAGTAGGCCCCTCCTCAGACCCAGGACTCCTCTTCAGGTTGCAGTGGGTCTTGATTAATCTTCTGGAGACCCCCACCCACCAAAGCCTGGGGGCTACTCTTGAGTGGAGCAGCTAGTTCTTTCCTCTTCTTTCCTTCTTCCTCCCCTGCTGAGGCACCACCCACTGGATGGGACTCCACTCCCTTGCTGCCCAGCACTGCTCTCACCAGCCTGCCTCTAGGGAGTGCCCTGGTTGAACCTAGGTGGTGGTAGGCCAGTGGCCTCGGGATGCGTGAAGGCTGCTTTTCAGGCCTGTGGTCTCTCCGGGGCCGGATCCTGGGCCTCAGCTTCAGCTTATAGATGGATGGAACTCTCTGGGGCTTTCGGAGTGTTCTCTTGCCCTTGCCTGGACATGCCTTGGTTTTATCAGAATTGGGGTCCAAGGGTGAAGGTGTGGGGGCTTCCAGGCTGATAGACACAGTAGGGGCTGAGCAGTCCTGCCCTCCTTGCGCTGGGACCTTCTTCACCCTGGTGACCTGGGCACTCAGGCTTGCCTTTACCTTTGGCCCACTTTCAAGGGCTCCCAATTTCCCGTTGGGGCTTCCTGGGCCTGTGGTAGCAGCTAGCTTAGGGGAACTTGTAGGGGTTGCCTTCCAGGCTCCCAGGTCCACTTTAAGGAGGGCTGGGGGACCCTGAGCCAGTTCTTGGATGACTTTGTCATAAGGACCCCCAGGCTCAGGCCATCTCCCACATAGGCTGGGGACATAGACTCCACTTCGAGGGACAACCCCAGGCCCTGTGCTGGCAACCCCCACCTCTAGTAGCTTCATGTTGGTCAAAAGCTCTTCCTCAAGTGTGTGGTATGTGGCCTGACCTTTGGTCCCACCCAGGGACAGGGAAGGATATTGCCCCTCCCACTCCTGTGGGCCCAAGTCCCAAGGCTCCCCAAGCTTTGCTGTCACCTGGATGTCTGACTTCTGGTCCCCTTGCCCCGCATCCACAAAGAACTCCCCTTGTCTTCCCCCAGCCAGGTCCCTAGTGACAGCCCTTACTGGGATGGGTCCAGTCCCCAATTCTGTCATGGAACCTCCAGTTGCAGAACCTGGAGAGCTACTTCCTGGAGTTGGGGGGCGGGCAGGGGGCAATTGGACAGGGATCTTGGTGGGCCCTTTAACAGGAGTTAGAGAGCGGACAGCTGTTGGCTCCCTGAGCTGGGCAGAAGCACCCTCAGCCTCACCCCTGGGTGGTGGCCTCAGGCTGACGGGCTTGGCTGGGCTGGAGGAACGAGGCAGTGGAGATGATCCTCTTTCTGGTGTCCTTTTGGCTGTGGCTTCAGGGGCTCGGAATCTCCGGGGAGTGGTCGCCCTGGCCTGAGTTCCCTGGATGTCTGTCCTCTCATGAACCCAAGATGTGGGAGTCCTTCCTCTGGGGTGTTCAGCAAAGTATCTCTCCTCCTTTTCCCCTGAGGAGGTGCCCTGTGGATCTTGGCCCCTATAGGGGGATGAGGATTGGGGGCCAGGTGGGCTGTCCCGAGCTGGCAGCTGCCTCCGAGATGGGGTGGGTGACCTCTCCTGGCACCTGAAAGGGAGAATCATAAGGTTGACAGGATCATCTAGTCCAGTCCCCTGGATCTGGAAAGGGATGAGCTTTTCCCAGCCAGAACATCAAGGGAGCCAGACTTCATGTTGAATGACACAGATGCTCTCTCCCTCTGTGCCTGCCTGAGTCTTCCTTATGATTTATTCTCCCTCACCCCTTGTGTAGCAGATAGAAAGAAGCCTGGTTTGGACTCCAAGTTACTTCAGGTCCCACAACTACAGGTCATCAGTCTTGAGGCAGGGAGTGTCTGAGTATCTATTCTACTGTGAAATGGCAGAAGGACCTTGGGAAATCTGTTCCCTTTATGGGCCTCAGCTTCTTCATCTGTGAAATGGGAGGGCAAATGAAAAGGCTAGATGATCCTAGTAGTACCGACTAGGTGCCTTTTTTGTTCTGAACACCTGAGATAGGGATGCTGTCAGGAGACCTGCTTCCCTTATCTTGGAGTGGGGTGGCGCCTGAGAATGTGGACTCCGTAGGGGAAAGAGACCCTGCTCTGTCCCTCTCCCTCATACCTCAGGAATGAAGCTCTCTCTCTGGGGACTCCCGCCTCTGCTCCTCTTTTACTGTGGGCTTTAGGGGAGGAGGAGGTGAAGGGCCTCAGCTTTCGGCCTGAAGAGGTGTATGTCTTCCAGTCCACAGGGGGCAGCGGGCTCTGGGAACGGCTGATAGTCATCGTAGGTTGGGGCAGTGAGGACCCATCCTGCACCCTCACTTCATGCTGCACCGGTGGGGCAGGAGGCTTCTGGAAACTGCCCGTCTTGTGTGCTAGCAACACAGCCCCCCAGAGAGAGAAGAGGAAGAAGGGGTTAAATTCCTACTGATTGGGCCCACTGTTTTCCTCCCCCACCTGTCCTACCTCCCACAACTTCTATTAGAGACAGTGGGGCCTCCAGTACCAGTGCCGGTGCCAGAGCTTCCTTTTAGGGGTTCGGGGGATGAAATCTGGTCAGAGGGCCCAGCTGGGGACCTCTTTAAAGCTGCATTTGTATTGCAAGTTCACATATTTTACTTAGATTCCATGCTTATACAGGGTAGCTTGGGGTGCTAATAGAGATTATGGGAGGACTGAAGACCCCTCCAAGTCATACTCGGTGGATTGGAGCCAGACCCAAGCTCTGCCTAGAGGCACCCTGACCAAATGCTGATTTTGTGTGTTTGGCGATATCTTGTGGATAAAATTGGTATTGCAATTGACTGCCCAGCTTCCTTCCCATATCTGAGGTCATCCTACCCAGTATCTTTTCCTTTTTCTTCTTTCTTCTTCTCCTTCTTCTCCTCCTTATTCTCCTTATCATTTCTCCATTATTTCTTCTTCCTTCTTCTTTTTCCCCTTCCTTCCTTCCTACCTACCTTCCTTTCTTTCTTCTTCTTCTTCTTCTTCTTCTTCTTCTTCTTCTTCTTCTTCTTCTTCTTCTTCTTCTCCTTCTTCCTTCTTCCTTCTTCCTTCTTCTCCTTCTTCTTCCACCAGTACCTTCTATAGTATCTTCTTTCTCCATCCCTCACATACTTCTTGGCCCTGGAGATAAGACCTACCTCCCACCTCGGCTCCTGGCCTCCCGACCCAGAGCCACAGGGACTCTCAGGGGACTCACAGAGCGAAGTGCACCGGCAGGGGTCATGTTTGTCCAGATAATGGCTGAGTGTGTCCCAGCCACCCCCGACACGCACCATCACGTGGTTCCGGAGGATCTGTAGGGGACAAGGGTGAGATTGAGGATGAGATGGAGGGTGTCGCCTCTTTCTGGAGCAGCCCAAAGTTTTCCAGCATGCACTCCTATACATGCACACACAGGTACTCTGCACATGTGTATTGTTTCAGGGGTGTGTATTTTGCAGCCCACCTCTCTTTCACAACTAACATCAGATAACACATATCATCAAGGGTGGTGATCCCTGGTGGTCTAGAGATTAGGATTTGGTGCTCTCATCAAGGGTGGTGGCCAGACTGACAGAGAGTTGCCCCACAGCTAGAGAAGGGACCTCACGAGCACTGTGCAGCCTGGCCCCATAGCACTCTCCTCTCCCCCTTCACCTGACCATGCCCGTGTCAGAAACGTGGCCCTGGCTTTGCTAATGTGTGCATCGAGGAATCCCTGGGGATCCTGGTCCCACTCCATTCTGGGGCAAGTCACAGTCTCTCCAGGCTTCCATTTCCTCAGCTGAAAACTGAGGAACACATCCCTTGTCCTTACCTACTTCACAGAGCTATTGGCTCAGGGTCTGGGTCAGGGCCCAGGGAGCTGGCTCTGCCCTCAGGCATGGCCTGTGATCAAGGAAAGGGCTTGCATGCCCACCAGCTGCTGGCCAAGCCTCTGGGTACGATCTGTTTCTGTTAAGGCATTGCCAGGTATGAGGGTGTGGGTATGGGAGGCAAGTTTCAGTCCCGTACTACTGCTCACTCTGCAGAATGTACCAAGCCAGGCACGTGAAGGGTGGACTGTGGGGCCCATGTGGCTGGGCCAAGCACT